AGAAATCGCAGAAATAAGGAAAAATTTCAGTTTTAAAAACTATGTGTTACTAAACTGTGAAATTGTTTGCCACAACTGTGGTAAAAGCGCATCCAGTATTTGGGTCGTAAACAAAATAGTTATATATTATCCTGTAGGGGATGTAAAAGCAGAGCTTATTCTATCTTCATCAGGCGGAAATATACTTTTACGTTAACTAAATGTTTCGCTTATGAGTAATTTAAAAACGAAACCGACAGAGGATTAATAATTTTTGTGATGTCTTAGTAGACATTCGGTGACTCTGTTTTGCATTCACAAGCACAGACATATGTCAGCTGAATATCCAATTAAAGTGGTTTTTACAAATTTACCATATTATAGAATGTTTAATAAATAATAGCAATAGTAGTTTCAGACTTGATTGCGGGCGTTCTCTTTTCTCGACAGTGTTTTGCTGTTTTAAAGGATTTCTCATTATTCCCACGTGGCCATTTTAATAAGAAGTAGTACCACAAAACGCATTTTTGTGGGATAATTATGTTAGTAGATTTCGTATTTTAATCATTTTGACATGAACATAAAACAGAATGTATGCTTATGAACCAAGCTTGAAAACACAGAAAATCTTTAAAATTCTTCGGAATTCAAACTTTACTTTTTAATTGAATTAAGGCAGTTTGCGCAAAATATTCCGACTTAGTTAAGGTTCCGTTGGAATAAGTAAAATGGTTAGATTATTAATTAACCTTAAGGAAACGTAAGTGCTTTACAAAATTAATTGTTCTACTTTTAACGATTTTTTTAAAATTATTAAGCAATAATTACATTGTACATTTCTTCTAAGTAGCACATTTTCCTTAATTTGTTCAATATTATTTCTTAATTTTCGTACATACGCCAATGCCGGTTTGCGAGGGATTATTGATCTTTTGCAAAATTCTGCATCTTAGAAGACGGAATTTTTAACCTATAAGGTGTCAAGTTAAAGGTAGCAATTAACTGCTGAAGAGAAAGAACGCTAGTGGTCTGCTTGATAAAGTAGATACCTCGCAACTCGATAATGCAGCGAGAGGGTATCGACGAAATACGTGTGAAGGCTATCAGTTTGTATCAATGCTTTCATTAAAAGTAACTAGATAACTCAAATCTCACCTTTTCTTTCTTTTGTCATGGTCTCTTGCCATGCTAATGATAAGCCGGTTTCCACCTAGCCGGTGGGGTTGGTTTACAAGCACCCTCCTCACTGAGTCCGTTTCAAGGAAGGTGATAAATCCACAGCGAATGGCCTTCGGACCCATTTTGTCCTTGGGTATTTTAATTTTTATGATTAGGCCGAATTTAGAGAAGTACTCATGCAAGTCACATAGAGTCATAGTCTCGTGTATCATCTTAAGAAAAATGTTATTCGGTTCCAGATGCCAATACTCCCCAAGCGGCCTAACCAAATAAAAAAAGAAAACACTCCAAATGTCAGTGGTTGGGGATAATAAACATCTTGACCACTTTTTGAATAGTGAAATCAGAAAGAAATGTAATGAGGATACTTAAATAACAAAGGCGACCGCAAAAGCAGTTGTCTATTCATTTGATCTGGTTTTTTGACTGTGCATCCGTACACAGGACTGCTGCACACGTGCTAAGTGAACATGCAGCACAGATGAAAATACTTGGAAAGTGTTATAACATAGATACTTCATATCAACTACAAGGAATTCGATTCTGAACGGAAAGGATGCAACCACTTGAAGCCGTTTTTTGCCTGAACTGTCAGATTCATACACAGACGCCTCATCGGAGGTAGCCTACGATGCGTTTAATTCGCACATTAGCAGTAAGCATATTTTTCTATGTATGTTCTCGCCAAATTACTGCATACTTTAGACATGTCACGGCTGTCTATTCACTGAGATGGCGCTAATTGTTTGGTGGTGGAATTACAAATTGTAATTTGCTGTAATTTAGTCATGCGCGTTCGTATCTGAAGTGTTCCTACAAAGATAAAGGGCGTTGGTTGCCCAACGTCACAGAGGTAGGTCAGTATGCAGATGATACCCTCTACATCATTGACAGGGACCAGCTGCACATGTTCAAAAGGCTCCTCAATTGAATATTTCCAGATATGTTACGTACGATGGAGGTTGAAGAAAACTACTAGTTGGCCTCGTCTGCTTCACTGATTGCAGCGGCCTCAACACCAAACGTGCTCAGATAAGCAAAAACGTAGATGCAAATGAAATAACACCCACCCAATCAGCCACAAGTCCACTTTTTGAAGAGTGCTTTATTGGCGTGTTGAGACCCGCTGCAGTAAACCAGAAGACAATGTTGGCAAACTGTAATATGTTAGACGTCTGTTAGGACAACAAGGTTAATCAAATAGCTTTATAAGTCAATGCGTATGAAAACGACGCATGAGTATTTTTGCTGAATTATGCCATGACTGTTGGAGCCTGTACAACATATAAGGGGCTACTTAACGCAACGAACGCCTTAAGGGCCATTGCTCTTCCTACTCTATATCAACGACTGTGTCGACGACCTGGGTTGCAGCGCCATCATGTTTGCTGCCGATGTCAATCTCTGGAGACAAATCAGGTATGTAGCCGCTAGTCTCAATCAACTTAGGAGACTCTGTTTTTCGGTTCTTTCAATTCAACGTTAGTAAGTAAGTGTTTTAAAGGCCTCGTACTCCAAGGACCAATTAAGAGGATGATTCTTTCAAATACCTCCTCGGTGGTCAACTTCTTTCAAACGTTGACGAAAATAACAACCTCGGTGTTCTAATGAACTGCTCGCATTAACAATTTTTACCGTGCTCAAGGCAACTAGACGCGTAACAAATGTACTGCTTGTGATTAGACACAGATTGGTCCACGCCGATAAGGAGGTCTTCAGAAAAACCTGCGGAGTGGTTGTTCGGTACTCCCTGGAGTATTTCGTCCAGGCCTGGCGTCCGCGGCCTGAAATCATATTTTCCTGATATAACACGGCATTAAGTCCATCTTTGTGTCTATTAAATCTTTCCTTGTCGAAGCCCATCCATTGACTTACTCATTTGCGAACGCTTTCATAGTTCGTTCGAATCCCCTAGGAACGAAATCATTGTATTCGGAACCTAAGTTTGAATCGACTGTTGTATGCATTGTAAATGTAGATGTATGACGTCACACTGTGACAACGCCAGAGAGACGTTGGGCCGAAAGAAGTATCCTAGAAAAAGTTTTGCAGTTTTATCGAAAATAAAGAACAAGAGTCGAAAATACGAAATAATGAGCATTTGGATAAAGCACGTTTAAGCGACATAGACGACGTCATAAAATGGTTATATATTCTAAGCTGATACCTCACCGTTATCTTGCTCCTATGAATATCCCTTAATGCAATACACAGAGGATCTGTTTGTTTAGGACAAAAAAACTCCGGATACGTGGAAAGCGGAATAATGCTTACTTTTTCCTCACGGAAGGTCTCCTCGGAGCTTCTTTTGGAATCAGCGTTTGCAGATTTGCAGAGTCTGACGTCACCAAAATCACATTTCTGATGTTCTGTTGAATCTATTTACCATTAAAAATACTCACGTACAGGTTTCGTCAGAAGCGTATACCGGATGTATCTGTTTTCTTCCTGGAATAACCACCAGGAGGGTAGGTGGAATGATGAGGGTGATTTTTTCTTATTTTTGGTTTTTCATTATCTATAATCTTTTTGTTAAATATGTTTAGCTTGTTTTTAAAAAGCAGTTGTTATGAATACTGTGTTTGTTAAATAACTAATCATTAATCAATTGGGTGTATTATGGGTAAAACTACGGGGTTTCTTGTGAGGAATTGCATACGGTTTACGGTCAGGTTAAGTGAATTTGGTTAAAGTTAGTGTTCCAGAGTAAGATCATCTATGTTTAAGGATGCAGTTTAGGGTTTCGCACGTCTTTTTAGGCTTCTGGTTAAGCGCTGCGGTGTTAGGACTTCGCTTAGGCTTAAATATTGATATTTCTGGTTATAGAATAATGATTAAAGAAAAGGGATAGGATTAAATGTTAATGTCGTAGTTTAATCAACGATTGGAGTTTAGAAATATGATTAGGCGTTCAGGATAAAGTTGATGTCGCAAGGAAAATATTATTCATCTAGAGTTTATCCAGTGGTCTGAGGGGTGTAGTCAGGTTTTAAAGGTTACGCTTAAGTTGAATCGGTAGGGATTTAGGTTCATTCATTAGGAATTAGGGTAAGGGTTAGGTTCGGGGCTATGCATACGGCTTTTTGGCCATAAATAATATTAGGAGTTAGGGAAACCGTCACGTTTTTTGAATTAGGGTTATCCGCTTAGACCTTCCACCTGTTTAATAACATACATAACTGGACTTAAATATATGCATTCTTTATAGCCGCAACCAAAAATAGAGACATGCTGTGCTTTTGTTCCAACCCCATTGCGAGCACCTTTTCCCCACTGTTTACCCTGTTTCCATGCTGCAAGATAACCTTTTTATATATTGTGCGGCACATCTACTCACATTTGATCATTTACACTGTATAATTATTTTGCCTGTGTGCTACCTGTATGCTAAAAAATTCATCCACAATTAGCAGAAGATACCAAAACATTATATTACAAAGATACCACCCACATCAACACTTTCTAAACGTACTTCAGGATTTGACTAACTTACAGATGCAAAATTATCAGCCAACTGTAATTTCTCAAAGGCAGAATCTGCGCATGAAGCCATCAACTCCTGAATGTGTTTGGCTCGATCTACCAACTTTCTTGCTGAGTGGGCTAGTGCCCACAAGGCAGCAGCATCCTGAAAAAAGAGAATGCATCTCTGGAGAGCTTTTATGACGGAATTGTAAGTGAAGAGTAGTGTTCTTAGTAGATAAAAGAAAAAGCAAAGACCGGCGTTTCACTAAATGGTTCTTCTACAAATATAACTGTAAAATACGTCCTATAGGCTACGTATAATGTACGTTGGACAAAATTGAAATGAATAAATACGAAGTTTCCGATCCAGCTATTTGCATAGACGAGGAAAAGGCGTCAAAAAGGCGTGAAACATTTAGCCCAGGGGAACGGAAGGCAATGAAAAGTCTAGAAGCCGATAAAGACATCACCGTTCTAACCGCTGACAAAGGCCGTTCCACAGTGGTGCTTGCCACTCCTTCTTCCTCGTCCATACAACTGAAATGTCCCTGAATTAGTAATCTCGTTATCTGATTTAAGCAAGAAGCCGTCGATATTCATCAACAGGACTATCCGTCACTTTGATGAGTTGGGCCGTTTTTTGTTACCCAAATGACCTAGATCAATCGTTAACAAGATTTGGCATACACAGCACGATAATTCGACCGTCATTGATGCCATATTGTTGCATTGCGCTCTACTTACCTTCTTAATGAGCCAGACAGCTACCGCCTTAAGCAGACCTTGTTATACTCTTTTGCTGGTGGTAAAACAAAGCCAGTGAGATATCATTTTGACGTTTTTTTTTCCTTTGAGAACTATAGATGCCAGAGGGCATCGGAATTTTTATAGGATGCGTGAGAAGCGAGCAAAAGTTGAGGCAATTTGTAGAAAAAGAAGCAGATGCAATCACTTTAACATGGTATATATTGGTTAACCGTTACGCAATCTCTTTAGAGCCACGTTTAATTATCATGTAATCACCACACCCCGCACAGACATCGTTGACGTAATCACAACTTGTGTATAGATAAAAAGCAATAATTGCATCAGCCACGTCCCCAATTGGTGAACACGAGACCGTCATATACGATCGCCGTGTATTTAACTGGGAACCGCGTCCTAATAATACGGCGTCACTACCACTGCGGAGGGGTTCTACGGAGGTCGCGAAACATCGGACAGATAGAAAAACATGGGCCAACGATCGTACCTAATTCCCTTCCGATGCCTGCCTACATGTTTCTATCGCAAAAACGTTCAAATAATGTCATGTTGACCCCACAATACTGTCCGCTAGGGATGTACCTTAGGATTATACCAAGGGCTGCAGTTGTACCTAACACCTTCACAACTACCTCTGCCCATGCGACGATTATGGATTGCCCTGAATATCGTGTGTCGGGACGCTAGAGTATATATATCGCAATGCTCAATTCGACAGATGCCTTATAAATTACCATTTCCTTGTTGTTTGTTATCCGTAGCACACGAGCTCGCCTTTGCTTCAGCTTTCCCCA